CCAAGTCCATCAAACTTCAATGTGCTCAAAAATTAAAAATTAGTAAATACATTAATTAACACGTTTTTGTTACTAAAATTTCAAGTATCTTCGAAAGTATTAGGCCTACATAATTTGGTATATGATCATTTTTTTGTAGAAGAACCGAATTAAGCTTGGAACAAATTCTTTAGCACTTGATGGACTTTGATGGACTTGGGCGAGCCTAAGATATTGACCAAAAATGTTCACCTTTCACACATATTGTTTTTAGAGCATAATGAACCATATTTTTGCTATTACCAATGAAAATTCTAAAAAGGCGGATTTTCGGCCCACGCTAATGTGCAGTATGAAAAATTCGGTTTATTTGAGTAGAGTAGAGTACTTGACTACAATGAACACATCCAGAAATATGCAGTATAAAAACGCGATTTGTATGAGAGGTGCCACGCCCCATTTCCAATAACATAAATTTGTTTATAAGTATGCGATTATTTTCGTATGGGAGGTGCCACGCCCCATTTTCCAATAGCTCCAATTTTTCTCCAGGAGTATGCGATTGATTTCATATATGTATATCCCTACCAAGCTCCAGTATTTTACCATCAACACTTCCAGAGATATGCAGTATGAAAAATTTGGTATTTATAGGAGGTACCACGCCTTCCTCACTTAGCGCTATGAAATATACTTTACGACCTGTTCGCCGCGCCTATTTTCCAAATTGATTTTATATATCTCCATACCAAGTTCCAGTACCCTACCATGAACACTTCCAGAGATATGCGGCACCGTGTTACCAACTCCATGCACATTTTATTCTGTTCTAAATATTTTCCTGCATTCGCAGTGGAATAGCATTATTTAAATTAAATGTTTTTTGATACAGGAATACATTTTCATATGTAAAGATTTTATCGAATGGTGGCAAATTTTTTTCTATATTATATTTTTTACGCATTCTCAGTCAAATATAAGTATTACGGCTTTTTTAAACTTAATTTTTTTTTTTATATTTCAGATATCAATCTGGCAACACCGGCTTTTAAATTTTTTCCTTACAAATCTTCTACAGACAGGGAGAAACAAAACGAAATTAAAACGAAGCAAATCTGTTGAGCCATTCTTGAGTTATGCGATAACACACGAACAATTCATTTTTATATGTAAACACTTTTTTCGAGTGGTGGCAACCCTATTGGAATTTTTTTTATTAAATTAGTTTATACATTCTCAGCAAAGTAGATTATTGCGACTTATGTAAATTTAATATTTTTTTTGATATTTTAAATATGTAGCAACACCGGTTTTCCATTTTTTCTTTACATTCATTCTACAGATGGAAAGACACAAAATTATATAAAAGCGAAGCCAATCCCTTAAGCCGTTCTTGAGTTATGTGATAACACACGAAAGCAATCCATTTTTACATATACAATTTTTTTCGAATGGTGGCAACCCTTCCGAAATTGTTTTCTGCATTAGTTTCTTTTACACATTCTCAGTGAAATAGCGGTATTGCGGCTTATTTATAATATTTCTTTTTCTGATATTGCAGATATCTGGCAACACCGTTTTTCAATCTTCTTCTTACAAACCTTTTACAGACAGAAAGAAGCAAAATGAAATAGAAACGAAGCAAATCCGTTGAGCCATTCTTGAATGATGCGATAACACATGCAAGCAGTTCATTTATATATATAAACTTTTTTTTCAATGGTGGCAACCCTATCCAATTTTTTCCGAATAAATTTTTTATATACGTTCTCAGTGAAATTGCATTATTGCGGCTTATTTACAATTAATTTTTTTCTGATATTGTAGATACAGTATATTTTGCTTTGCTGCCTTTATGTTTAAGTGCACATTTAAGATACGTACCCCAAAATGCGCATCAGCGGCATTATTTTTAGCATTTATAAGGAAACGGCTCCGATAGGCGCATTCAGCATACCGGCACATAAGCGATACCTGCCTTACAAATTATGTAACTATTATCAATTATCAACGAAAGTGATACGTTTACCTGCACTGACCCTACACTTACCCAAATTTTACAATCTTGTATTCATTTTGCTGATCTCGCAGAACAACGAAAACGGCTATAATTTTATGTAGTTATTTAGATATTTAGATACCATTCGGAAAAAAAATCGCTTGCAGTAATTTCTACGTGGTAAGTGCTCCTCCATTATTTGGTTTCATAGGGATTCGGATAACTTCCTCATTGAAGTAGTAAAGAAAATTCGCTTAAGTGATTTTTCCGGTTAAGCACACAAGTTTTTCGTGCAAAGGAGGATGGGCGGCTAATCAAAATATACTGTATCTGGAAACACCATTTTTCCATTCCATTTTCATTTTTCTTTACAAACCTGCTACGGACAGAAAGATACGAATGAAATAAAAACGAAGATAATCCGTTGAGCCGTTCTTGAGTTATGCGATAACATAGGAACAGAAATTCATTTTTATACAGGGTGTCCCAGAAGTAACGTGCCATACTTTAAGCAAATGGAAATAGCGTCAACAATGCTTAAAGTATGTCGATTCATAGAAAAAAATATTTTTCTTACAATAAACATTGCCCCGAAAGTGTTGTTTTTTAATAGATGAAACGGTTATTGCCAAATCCTCAGTGTTGTGATATTAATCCACACACAATCATGAACTACCACCAATTGATTTTATTAAAACAATTTAAATTACGAATATGTAAAAACACGATGCGAAAAACTAAACGCCTGCACACAGCTGGAATACGAGAAATATTTGATTAAAGAGTGTAGAAATGATCCATAACTTGCAAAACATGTTTCGTTTCCACAAAAATAAAGCGACTCTATTAAATTGAAGAAACAGTCCATGTCCAAAAACCACGGAGGAGCACTGAAAGAATTCTGTGTTTTAAATTAGCATATTTTGAACGAATTCGGAGTGTCTAAGGTGGAAAAGAAACCAACCTTTCTTTAAGGAAACAATTATAGAAAAACAATTTTCTTACACTGTATTCATGTCTCCGCCAGCAATTTGTGACGACATCATTTAAAAGCAGCTAAGGTGAACGACGACACTATTTATTAGATGGCACATTCAACGAGCCAATGTGCCAAAATGCGGGTATAAACAATTATTGCTTATTTAATATCGGAATCGAGATCATATAAGTTAATTGATTGGTTTTCACACACTTTTGAATTACAAGTTATCCGCTTTTTTACTGAAGACAAGTTGTTGCCCCAAAACACAGCAGAAATCTTCCAATCAGGGCTGCCAACTATCCTTAGTTATGAGGTGCCATATTGAGGATAAAAAAGTGCCAAAGTGTGCCAAATAGAAAAATAAAAGTGCCAAAAAAGGTTCCATTGCTTTTAATCATTCATATTTAGCAATAAAATAAAGCAAAATTTTCCAAACAAAAGTGCAATGATAAAATAAGATAAACCAGTTGAATAGCCTTTATAAATTAAAAAGTCTTAGTTGAGAAAAAGAAATGCTCGCAAAGGATTTCACAAAAATGTATTGAAATGTTATTTTTTTACAAAAGTCCCATTTTGGCACTTTGTGCCAAATTGAAAAATTAAGAGCCATTTGAAGTAAAATAGGGACAAATGGTACGGTTTGAGCTTAAGTTGGCTTCCCTGCTTCCAATAACTTACAAATATAAAAATGTGAAATATCGAGGGCTTGAATTCATTAATACCCTATCTGCAATTTACACGAAAACTAATTTGTGTTTTTAGAAACCATCTGGGACTTATTACCTGTCGTTGTATAAGGTAGCATTAATATTACTGATGACAGTTAAAGTCAGAATCTCATCTTTGTGAAAAGTGTGCAGATAGAGGGAATTATTGAATATAAGCCCTCGATGTTTAGAATATATAAAAATTGTATTTCAACGTATACAAAATATAAATCTACATGCGTTGCAGCACGGCGCGAGGCGGGGAAGGGGGGCCGGGGGCCGCGGCGTAGCGTGACATGGTGTGCGCGCTGGTTGCGCGGGGTACGCGGGCGCGAGCGTTAGCGCGGCGCGCGCGGTTTGGCGCGCTGACGCGGGCCGCCGCGAAGCTAAGCAAATTTAATGTTTGAAAGAGAAATAATGTCAATGGATTTTATTTCGTTTTTAAAAAGGTAATAATGTCAATTGACTTTATTTTGCACCCGGGTGGGAAATAAAGTCAATTGACCTTATTTGCGTTGATCTTATTACCTGTCACCCCATATTTAAATGCAATGTAGTTAAAATATATTAAGGAACCATCATAAAATTATGACTATTTTGGGATTTTTGACTTTTTGATATTTTCTTCCCCAACTTTGACTATCTCTGGTGAAAAAAATGTACTGAGCTATAACTTTGTCATAATTTTATGTTGGTTCCTTAATATATTTTAGCTACATTGCATTTGAGTATGGAGAAGCAACTATCTGGAAGTAATTTACATCAAAAATTTACTAAGTATAGCCTGGTTTGTAGATGCGGTTAAAGAAAATACATGAAAAGACACGATTTTTTTTTTTAATTAAAAAAAGAAAGTTAATATTTCAAAAACGGTGACACTTTTACCGGATATTTTTTTGTATATGAGAGAGCCCCCCCCCCCCCCCCCCCCACCTACCTTCCCCTTAAGTTTGGCACGTTACTTCTGGGACACCCTGTATATAAAGAAGATATCTTCGCCAATGGTATTACCGATTTTAGGTATTAGACGAAAAAAAAAAAAAATTATTTTAATTTTTTTAGTCTCCAGAGAGGAATCAGAACTTTGCCCCCTGTGCGACACGCCTCAACCGTCTCCAATCGGGACCAAAATTTATATGTGATATCTTCGACTATACTAGCATAGCTTATGAAATCTGATGTAAAAATTTGGTTCGTACATTTAAGGACCACCCTAATGTGAATACATATGTATTATATTAACTTGATAGTGAGCTTACTTCTAAATATTGCAGTGGCGACTACTACGATATATGTATATATTGGGCTTGCGACCCTTTAGATAAAACATTACCTGAGTTGGTGTTAAGTGTATGAGGCTGGCTAAGTGCTCTCTTTCTGGTGCTGACAGGTACCTTTGTTGCTTGAAACGTCTCTCTAATTCATAAACCTTAAAAAAGAATTATTTCATGAATAGATTAATGGGTACGAAATGTCACAAGAACAGATTATTCTGCTCAACAAATCAAATAATCACTTTTATTGAGCAACATTAATGACAGTTTCAAAATAATAAAATTAATCAAATCATTCGTAAGAGAAATCATAAGAATTTTATAAAGAAAAGCAACTTTACTAATTTAAAACATTTACGTAGAACACTTATTAACCAATTTACCACCTTTAAAGCAAACAATCTGTATATATACATGATTAAATTATTTTTTATTTTGTGTTTCCAAGAGTAGAAAGAAATTTGCAGCGTTCCGAATAAATAAAACTATTTTCCGTCAGTTTCAAGGGCAGTTAAAAAAAATAGTTTAATAAATAATAATAAATTTTGTGTTTCTAGTTCAGCTTTCTTCACTCGAAAATTTTACATCAAAGAGGTGTTTTATTTGATATCAATTATTTTGGGATAGCAAATTGAATATCAACGAAAATCAAAACAAAAAAATATAAATGTTTTATTTTTCTCAAATAAATGGCTAAAAACGCTATCTAAATCTAAATGATTTATTCAAATATTTAACATTAACCCTCTAGTAGGCCAATTTTTTTATGAGTTGAAAAATTCAGGAATGGGTGATTTTAGTACGAGAAACCCAAAACTGATGTCCATTTCGATCTGTGACAGTAACTTTTTCCTACAGGGGAGAAAAACCAAGACCGTCTGGAGACGGGCTCGCCGATATACTTACACATAGTTTCAGCTTTATCTTACACAATGTTGACCTACGAACCGGCAGTGCCGTCTGCAGACGGTCAAAAATGCAAAACTGGGGTTTTATATGTCGGCAAGCCGGTCTGTAGACGGTCTGTGTTCGAAAGCAATTTTCTCCATTTCGAATGGTGACATAATTATAAAACTTATATTAAAATACGGTGCTTTTAACAACAAAATCCACCGAATTTTTTTATATCAAAAAATTTGTCAAAAGAAAAAATTTCTTTAATTACGAAATTACTAAATAGCAAGAAATAATTAATTTTAACCGTGTTTTCAAAATCTGTAATTAAACTGCCGATTAAAATATAACGGATTGACATAACGGATTAAAGTTTACTTCGCCGTAAGGGTACGAGTTTTGTCTAAAGATCGCGCCTTACGAATATAGAAAAAAATGATTATAGGTGCACTAAAAAGGTGTTTATTTAACGACCGTCTGGAGGCGGTTCTGCCTACTAGAGGGTTAAATTCAATTCCATTGAGACATTTAATTTTTCGAATACAGAATAACGGCTTTATTCATAAGAAATAAATTAGATTTCGAGAGCTTTACAAAGTGACGTTTTCATAAATTTTTCAGTTTATACACCTTTTTTCAAGCTACTTTATTTTTTATGAATAAGGCCATAAAGCGACAAAGAATGAGCAATCCTTTATGTCCAAAGAAAAAATTAAAAATTAAAACAAAAAAAATATTAAAGGTGAAAAATTATAAAAACATAAACTTGGTACCAACCATGATACAAAAAAAAGCTAGTTTCACTTTGAAATTTTTTGACATAAACTGTGCTTATGACGTTTATACTTTCCTTAAATTGCTTGAGTATCACTGCCACCTCAACAAATTATTGTTTTGGAAATTTTATTATTGTTTAAAGGATTTTTTATGCATTAAAAAATAACAGCACGCAAGGTAAATTTACTTAATTCATCGTACTAGCATAGCTGTTAATAAGTGTGTGTTAATTTAAAATACCTTAAATTACCTTACTGCAAAAAAATTTGGCATTATATGCAGTGTCCCATGAGATATTATTATAGATATTAGGATGTTGCTTTAATTTGGATCTTTTTTAGAGGAAATATGAACAAAGGAATAGTTAAAAAGTAGCTTATCGTCGATGAAAGCACTATGGAAGCATAAACTTAGAGGGAGGTAAAGAAATTTACAAACTCTTAGAGCTCCTAGTTTATAGACAGACAAACTACTCGCTCTACTGCTGATGGTGCAGCGTTTCGCTTAGATTGGGCACATCCGTCCCGAGGCTGAAAATTTTCTGCCGAAAAGTGGTTGGAACAAGCATCATCTTGGTGAAGTTACCATGCACGTGGCCATCCCGAAATATGCAGCTAATCGTATCAAATAACGATGAAAATAATTGCATAAACAAATAGATTATCTATGTGCATTACGCGATGTAATAGGAGTATTTTACTTGCCAACCGTTTTATAATAAATTTTAGAAATAAACCACTAAAAGGTCGCTATAAAATGATCCTCAAAATATATTCCTTGAAATAATTTTTGAAATAATTCTTTCTGAAGTAAAAAAACAACACTTTTTAGTTTCTCCAAAGAATACGGTAGCTTCAATTTAAAAGAAAACGTCAAAGGCACAGTTCACGTCAAATGGGAGCAATGGCAGATAAGAAGAAGAAGTGAAACTACCTTTAAATATTTGTATCATGGTACCAACAGTAGATACAATAAGCAACTGTATTCGTCTCATTCTCTGCGCTGCGCACATGTGTTTTTTAAGAAGTTTCACTTCTATCACGAGTACGATGCTGCACTCGCCTTTTTTACTCATTTTCATTTCATTTTTACTCGCATTTTTGCTCAGTGGCAATTTATACATAATTAGTAGCGGCACATAAAGTGAACTAAATGCATTCATGCATATGTATGTACAAATATAGGTAGGAATGTATGCGTCTTCACAGTTAGGTTAAAGGCGGGTATAGTTGCATACTGTGTACATACTTACAATTAAAATAAGAAAACATTTTACAATTTCGGCATGTGATGCAAAAAATCTGTAAAATGCACACAATTTGGGTTTCCCAAGATATGTACGAAGTGAAAAGAAACCAGCAAAACTAAAAAAAGATTTCTATAAGAATCAGAAAGCGACATACACAGTCTACAAATTATGTATCGCGTGCAGGAAAGTCAACTCGAGGGAAACTCCCCCGATTTGCAGGGAATTTCGGTTTAGGTGACAATCGGGGATTGGACAGTTGGGTATATGTTATGTTGACAACTTAGAGAAACCAAATAGACGAATATGTTAATTTTTAACCATTTGTCGCTATTTGGAGTGACTTTCTTCAATTTGATCGAAATATCCCCACAACAAGAGTTTTCCCAGATATAAGTTATATAGCAAATGAAAGCTAGGATTTTGGGATAGACTTGAGGAAACTGAAAATAAAATAAACTGACGAATTTTTGAGAAAATCCTAGAAATCTATCAGGCATGTTCTGAAATTCGAAACTTTGAAATCGACTCGATTTGCCAAATAATTTTTAATTATATCTGATGAAAAGAGTGAATATTCTAATTGAAAACCGTAAAAGAAGTAGCAGCGATATGAAATACATAATTTAAATGCGAGACTTTTAAATTTCTGGGTTAAAACCCTTCGAAAAATTATCGAAATCGAGTCGATTTCAAATTTTCGAATTTCAGAACATGCCTGTATATTTTCAGCAGCCTAATTTTTAGTTTTCAGGCGATAACGTTATGACATATTTATATTTCATAAACGAAAAAGATAGCTTGTTTTAAGGCCCTTCTACTGATATCCACGTCAATGGTATGGAATGAGTAGTGCGGTTTCAGCGATAGTTTAAAAAATTGCCTTTTTTCGAATTTCAGGCACCAGCCACGCCCACAAAGGCACACGAATCGAAATATCCTGGAACAAAATCTTCCTAGTTTTTTTGTACTTTAATTCCTGAAAGTTTGAAAAAAATTAAATGAAGGTACGTACAGACGCTACACACATCGCAAAGCATCTCGTAGTGGAGACACGAACCAAAACCAATTTAGCTCTATATCTTTCCAACTAGTAGCCGGAACTCAATATATAAAGAACGGTTGGAAAGGTATTGACCTATAGAATAATACTAAATAAGTCGGTTGTACACACTTACACTGTTAAACCGGCAAAAGCAAAAAAACTTTTTTGTTTCGCAACAATTTAGTCTAATTTTTAAGGATTCGGTTAATCGTTTATGAATTTGTAATATATTTTCTGGCCACACTCTGCAAGACCTTTCCAACGATACCTCAAATAGTTCGATTGGACGTCTGGATAAAAACTTCCAAATCTCGTGTATATATAAGCGAGCCATTTCAGCATGCTACTGTGGCTGCTTTCGTCACTCGTGCGCACTGTCGTGTGCTGTGATGTACATTTATTGTACACCTAAAAGAACAGTTGTACAAGACTTACTGCCATAACTAAACAAAAGCGTCAGCGTTGTCTGGCTGTCAAAAACTTCTCGTGCCCATACAATTAGTTTGAAGCATACCAAAATAATGCGGCGCCAACGCTGAGTGGTTCGAAAATCCGATTTTGACAGAGCGTTAGGAAGTGAAGTTGGCTGCAGAAAAGGGCAAAAAAAACTGTCATTTTCGTGTTTCACACAAACAAACCTATGCTTATTATTGCTGTTGTTTCTGCCTTTGACATAGCATTTTTACTTTTGTTTAGGTATGGCAATTCGACGTTAACGCTTGGCGTCAGAAAACGCTCCGCCCAACGCTTTTGTTTAGGTATGGCAGTTAGACTTGACTTGACTTGAAAATTGTATATCTGGCAAATGGGCAGCGCGTGTATGTAGTTACCAAAAAAAACTTCACTTAAAAACTTGAAGAACTAGAGATTTTTGATTCCAAAGGTAAGTTTCTAAGTGCAAAGAGAGCCGCGAGAGAATCATGCCAACATATAATTTTTTAACTTATTTTTAACCGACTTCAAAAGAACGAGGATGTTATCGGTTCGTCGGATTATCTTTACTTTTTTTATGTATGTTACCGCATAACTTTGGAACACGCTAACCGATTTCTATAATTCTTTTTTTTTAGTGGAAAGGTGTTACCTCACAGGTTAATTTGTTTTAAGTCCGGTCATCGGATCATGGAGAAATAAACGATAATCTTAAATTTGTATATGAGAATTGATGTCGGTTTTGTTTTTTTGCTTAAAAA